GGAAGGGAACTTTATGTCTACTCTAGTGTCACTTGTCATGGAGCACCGTGGTTATGTTTTCTCTCGCCTGAATGGACTGTGAGAAGTTAGGCAGCCCCAATTGAGTTTGATTTTGCCATGTAATGAAGGCTGATGTTTCTGTTGCACTAGAAATTCAGTGTTTATGAAATGCGCCGAGCAGATCTACTTCAGTAACTTTCATCCTGAGGCGCCCAAGTGTATCTAACAACACACATCATACCTGTGCCTTGGCGACAACTTAATGTGTCCTAATTGCACCGTCAGTGACCATTTTCACAGAGTCATGTGTTTCCCATTGAATGTAGGTAACAGAGTTGAGAAGGTCGAGGGTAAGGATGATTACTTTTCTGAACTATACTAGTGGAAAACTGGTGTGAAATAGCAGGGTTATCATGTGGCCCTCAAAGTTATATTCAACCTACTTGTGTTTTCTTCTAAGATATATTTAGCACAAGTGTTCTGTTTCTATGTAGACCCCGATATCATAACATTGTGGTATATAGAATTTTCCTTTAGTTTTGTAATCTAGCCAATAATAAGCAGGAATAGTAGTAATTTTACAGAAAAATTCTGAACTGTTATCCTCAGTTGAGGAGTCTTGTCGGCTTTACATGGAATAACATCCCAGTTCTCTCCAGTGGGAGAACCTAACTTCAGTTTAGATCCCAAATGATTAGTTCTTTTTTCAAAGGCCATTAAAAAAAGTTTTTAGTTTTATATATATTTTACATCACTCTTGTACAATGTATGCCTTCTCCTCTCAGATATAGGCTCTATGAAATTCTCACACCGATTCACTCGTGTCCCATCATTTAAAAATTTTTTAAGAATATTTGCCTTTTCCCCATTGTGACAGGGAACAAGACTGACCAATGAAGTTGATAAAATGAGAATACAAGTTAGTAGAGTTAGAGGTACTGAGTAAATGGATAAATTAGCATTTTGCTACCTGCTTGTGGAGACAAAGTACCCCAGTCAGCAGCCAAAACTAGCTTTAAAGGAAACATCATGCCAGTGGTTCAGCAGAGACTTCCTTCAGATAGTAACATGGGCAGTGAGTCAAAGACTTTGCAAGATCCTAACACAGAGACTGTAGACAAGAATAGTCAGCACACACGGAAACCAGGGTGTGTGCACGACAGAGCAGAACCAGTTACTCTCAGCCTCACCGTCCTTGCCGACGTTATGAGCCTCCCACCTGACACACGGAAACCAGGGTGTGTGCACGACAGAGCAGAACCAGTTACTCTCAGCCTCACCATCCTTGCCGACGTTATGAGCCTCCCACCTGCTAGCCTTGCAGTTTATTGCAGCTTTTTATGCTCAGTGTAGTGTGACACTACGTGCACAGCTCTGACTCCACTGAATAGGTTGTTATGCTTTCATTGGCCTCTTAAAATCCCCAATTAAAAAATAGTCTTGGGAGTTGAGCTGATGTAGTTAACCTTCAGAGTAGACAAAATTAAGAACTTTCAAAAAGTCTATTCCATCTAGAAGTCTGATACATCTCAGTTCTGTACAACTAATGACTCCTGCATGATAGAACTATGATGCCATAAGAACAACTAACTGGCTATTCAGTTTGTTCTCTTCTACACCTATGGGATTATGACATCAGATAGAAAGCAGCCAATCATCAGCTTCCCTCATTTTTGTTCTTTTACTGTTAACCAGTCAGCCCTTTTTCATGGAGGTTAGGTATATGAGTTACCCCAGTAGCTTTGCAGAATAAATTGTACTTAAGAAAGATGCTCAGCTTTTGGTGATTGGCTAATGCTCTCAGAACTGAGGCTTGACCTGAACTGAACTATGAAGTAAAAGTGAAGCAAAGGGCAAGATTTGCTCAATGTGAACCTTAACCACTATGTTAGCAACAACAAAATAGCGTCAAAGAAGTGAAAACTACAAGAGATCTTAATGTTCGTCTAGTCGATGATTTTCATTACATAGATGGAGAAAAAATGAGGATCAGAGAGATTGCAGACTTATGTCAAGTCATAAATTGTTCATTGGCAGAGTGTGAGACAGAAGAACAAATTTATTGTTCTTTCAGCTGCTCCATGATATCTGATAGTGTATCATAAAAAAAAGATTTAATTTTTTTCTTTTCTTTCCAAATAATCCCCTAGCTGATGACACTTTAAGTCAAATTGGGACAAGTTAGAGAATCAGAATATTCTCCAAAAGAACCTTTACTTGATAATCTCTCATATAAATTAAAAAAACAATAGACTTATTGACTTAAAATTCAACCTTGTTGAGCTCTATGCTGATAATTTAAAGTATATAAATTCTTTTTTCCTAATTGTATTACCTGCTTTAATTCATATAATCCTCCTAAAAACTCTATATGTAAGTGCTATTTTTTTTTATTGAGGTATAATTGTGTATAACATTATATTGGTTTCAGAAATATGATTATTTGTATAAATGGTAGCACCATCATGTCTCACTAACATCCATCACCCTACCTCATATTTTTTTCTTGTGATGACAACTGTTAAGATCTACTCTCTTAATAACTTTAAAATATGTAGCAGTTTCTTCCTTGATAAAACAACACTTCAGGCATTAATTTTCTTAAATCGATTGTTATTCAGCACCCATCAAAAACTCTGTGGCCGGAACTGTCATTAAAGGCACAAATGAGAATGTCCACTTATTCCTACACGTATGTAATTTCTAAGCTTGTGGAAGCTTAGGACATTCCAGGAAGCTCAGAAATGGGATGTCAGTTACCTGGCCCTCTCTTTGGTGTAGTTTAATGTTACCTTCTTGGCATGGATCAAAGATGACTGCAATTAACAATCAAATCAAAATCTACTTTATCCTTTTAAAAAGTCTTTTTGAAGACATATGTCATCTATGTTATTGTATGCTCTTTGAAAAAGGAAACATTTTAGAAAAATCTGTTTCCATTCAAAGAACTGGTTATGTGTACTCAAAAAATCAAATAATAACCAAACCAGAAATTTTCTTTTCTGCTTTGGCTTACACAAAGTAAAGAAATGTAAAAGAAGGCTCACTCTTAGCATAAAGATTTAAATTTGGGGCACATTTGTTTTTTCCATTCAAAATGTATTTCTAATCAAACTGATATTTTCTACAAGCCATTTATTGCAAAGAAATCAGATCTGCCTTTCTGGAAGTAGTCGGGAACAGTAAATGATAAATACATACGGATTTTTTTTGGCTTGTCTTAAGTCGTTGCGGGATATGCTTCCCTGTTACTAATAGGCACAGAATTCCTGCTATGCTCCACACAGACTTGTAGGGGAACCAATGCAGCTATTTGGTCAAAGCTGTTCTTGAGTCAGCTTAAATGTTGACACTTGGGCTAACATTTTTGCTGAGAGGGATATAGTTTTTGGACACTTTATTTTGGATAATATCTTCATAAAAGCAATTTGTGTTCATGGCAGACTTTTGGAAAATCTGAAAGCAGTTTAAAATCATCAATAGTCATATCTTGAGTTCATACTGTATAACACAATATATATATAAATTTTTGTTTGACTGTCTTTCACTTAACATGTGAGAATTTGTAGATACTAGCTATTTTCCAATAACAAGATATTTAGTGTGCAACATTTTATTGAGTGATTTGTTCAACCATTATCCTGTTGATGGAGACTGAGATGGTCCAAGCTAGTTTCTTTATTAATATGACCCTGTAACACGCATGTGTAGTTAACAGTGGTCATAGCATTTAGGAGGCACTTACTACAGCATAATGCATGCACGGTGCTAATTACTTCATATGAATTATTTAGCCTCATTGTAACCCCATGAAGTAATGACTAGTGCAATGCATTTACAGTTGATCAAACCAAGCCAATTTAAGAGCATACAACAAGGAAGCTGTAACTCCAACCTGGCGTACACAAAAGTTCCAACTTGTAAGTAGTCTTTTACTTATGGGTCTTTTATTTATGGGTCTTTTACTTACTCATGAGTAGAAGTCTCTTCTTCATAAGTAAAAGACTAAAAGATCCCAGTTGCCTATTGAAATATGCAATTATTGACTAAAGTTACAGAAATCTGAGATTTTTCTCCATCCTTTCTCAGAAAGCAGCTAGTGGATATTTTTCTTGGGAGTGTAATTGTCTTACTTTAGTAAGCATTATCATACTATGATAAAATTAAGTAATTAAGTGTCCTGTACCCTTATAGTCCTTTTTTTTTTTTTGATAGTCTACAGAAAATTCGATGAATCCAAGCCCCAGAGATGAGCCTCTTATTTCTATCAGAGGGCAGTTCAGAGAAATGAGGTAAGAGGTGTTGAAAATTCTGAAGTATGTTCATACATTGTCAAGTGCCTGAAGAAATGGAACCGAGTTAAGCTCGACTGTTGAGACTGTTAGAGTGAATATCTAAGGATGTTGTGCAGCTAGGACACCATCTGTAGTTTTGGCGTCCTCCAGCCCCAGTCCAACCAAACTTTCAGTGGCTTCGCGCTCCCTTGCCGTCGACCACCGGCAGAGCGATAGCAGCAGCAGCAGCAGCTGGAGGGGGAAGAGCTGAAGCCCGAGGAGCAGCGAACAGGTGTGCAGGAGCAGGTGCGGGGCACCGCGGGGGAGGCCAGCGGGCAGGAGGTAGGAGGAGGGCGCGGCGGAGCCAGCGTTGCCACGAAGCGGCCACCTCGCGTCCCTAGCAGCCGCCCGCCCACGTCAAGGTTTGTTTAATAATCGCCGGGGTATTTGTGGCCCGGGCTGCGGGCGGCCGCCGGGGAGCCAGAAGACCGCGCCGGGCAGCGGATGAAGCGCCGCGGCTGTAGCCCAGGGCACCTCCCCCCCCCCCAGCTTCCCGAACCCTGCCCGGTCCAACCCGAGGGGGAGGATGGAAACACCGGCTGCGCTCTGAGCCCCCAGGAAGATAACACCCTCCTCGCCAGATCGTAACGCGGTCCAGCGAAGCCCACCGCCTCCTCCCCTCCCAGTCTCGATCTCCTAGAGAGGGGCGGAGCAGGAAAGTGAGCGATGGCGGAAAACCTCAAGAGACTGGCCTCGAACGAATCTTTACAATTATTGCCAGACAAACTAGAATCCTGGCAGAAGGACTACAACGTGAGTCGGGGTGGGAGACCGCTGGGGGTCACCCTCCGCAGCGCTAGCTCCTTGCCCAGCATTTGGCGGGGTAGTTAGTTTGGCTTCTGGTTGGTCCTTTCGGTTACCAGCCCAGCACCCGATCGCACGTGTCTGCGGCGCCCTTTTCTCCCCGCTTCGCTAGGCGGCGCTGGTGCGGCGCGGAGCGCAGGACCAGGAGCCCAAGAGTCGAGGAAGAGCGCGCGCGTCCCGCCCAGTCGTAACCAAGGACGCTAGCTATCGGTCCTAGCAACAGGAAAGAACCATTTCCCCCAAGGTTCTTGTCTAGTTTGCCATTCTTGGTTCATTCTTCCTTCCCTACCCCCAACTCTACTAATTTTTTTATTACGCCTTTCCCCCTACATTTCCGCAAATCTCCCTCCCTGAGGATACTCAGGGTAGTATCAGAATGATTTTTTTTTTTTTAAATAAAAACGCACCCAGAGTCAGTGAAATTGACACTAGTCTAAGTGCGGGCTTTACTTGTGCTGGTCAGCAGGGCAAGTAAGCGCTGTTTCCACACTAACGCCTTTTGCTGAGGCATTGGGAAGAAGCCAAGAGGTCGTGTAGTCCCCATTCTTAGTTTGGGGTCTCTTTACTCTCCTCCCCACAAAGTGTTAATATTCCGTCCTGCACCTTTAATAGAAGAGGCCCACCCACAAGTACAGCTGTGAGGCAGAAAGAGCTGGGCACCCCAAGTTAGCCCTGTGCTAGGCGTGGCTCTGCATGGCACTGGCTGAATGACTGGTTTATCATCCCTGGTCTCCAAACCTCATGTTAGAAGGGAGAAGCTGGTATATGATATATAAAATCCCTTTTTTGAGTATCAGTTTTTTTGAGCCTAGATCAACTTGTTTCTGAAAGCTTACCAGGAAAATGCAGCTGGGTTGTGATGATCAGTCCCTGTCCTTGTCAGATCACTCTTTAACCAAGAGCCCTTGGGGCCAAGGGAAGCTCAAAGAACATCAAGGGCTTTCTCATTAGCCTTCCTCCTAAGGTCTAGTGTTTGTACCCTTACCCACTTAAAAAGAACCAGCACTAGCTGTTCTTCCTCCAGCAAGAGGAAAGTTAAAAATCAGCCTGTCACACAAATCTCCCTAGCCCACTTGCTACCTAGTCTCAAAAAGTTGAGAACAAATTCTGATACATGGATTCACCCTTCATCAAAGTAACCCTACAGACTTTTTTCCTTGCCCTGTGGCTTAAATAAACTCTGAATTTCAAAAAGCATGTTTAGTTTGTCCCAAGAAAATGCTTAGCAGACTAAGAAATGCCCAAGTTGATCAACATTTTCTCTTCTTTGTAACAATAGTCTCACTGGAACTCTTTCCATCTGGAACCCTCCCTAATTCCACTTCTTCTCTGTTTCTGGGCAGAAATGGCACTCTCAGATACCATTGCCTTACCCCCTTGTTCCATCCCCTTCCCGGGCACCATCTTTATCTCTGGAATTATCTGGCCTCTCTTTCACATTTGACTGTTGACATCCCCTTCTTTCTGAGGTGCTAAGAACTTGTTATTTGTCCATTGCATTACCTATTTCCTTCTTCTGGTTGTTTTTCAGGAGCCAGACTTTAGATATCTCTTAAACCTCCATTTGATTCCTGATGCAGCTCTTACACATAGGCTAATAGTTCTCATATTCAGGCCCTTTTCTTATCCAAAGTCTCACTGCTCTATTTGCGTACAGGACATTTTCCATCATGCTGACTCCTTTCAAAATCAGTCTACAATGACCTTAGTCTCTCCAGGCTCTACCCACATATTCTTCCCTAACATAATTGTATTCATGATGACATCCTTTTTATCAGCATAATCTGTTGGTTCTGTCTTCAACATTCACATGGTATCTCAACACTCTTCATCACCTCACTGTTAACACCTTATCTACCTTCCATCATCTTTCAACTGTATTATTATAAAAATAAGCCGAAGGAATTCTTCCAAATGTCAAATCAGATGTTACTGCTCTGGTAAAACCCTCCGGACTTTAAAGTTCCTACAATAGCCTTCAAGGTCCTACACACTTGTGCTCCTTTAAATTCTGTGCCTTCACCTATTACTGTCTTCCTTACCTAATCTACTCCATCAAATACTGGCTTTCTTGTTCTTTCTAGAGCAAAATTGTCCAACGGAATTTTCCACGATGAGGGACATGTTCTGTGTCTGCACTGTCCAAAATGTTGGTAACCAGTATGTGAGTCATTTTAAGCTCTTGGCATGGTTTTATCAGTGCTATTGTGAAGTATGAAAAGGTGGGTAGATCCCCAGATTTTCAGATTTTTAAAAAAGATTTATTTATTTATGCATACAGAACTGGGGTATAGGCCAGAGGTATGGAGATGTGAGAGGATTCACCAGAGACAGAGTGGGCAACAGAACAAGTGGATCTACTGAAATGCATTGCTGAGGGAAACAGCGGGTGAGACAGGAGAGGTCTGCCTTGCCATGTGGGTCACCTCCTGGCCAGGAATCTTTCTTATACGTCAGTGTCTGCGAATAGCTTCAGATGCTGTGCTTTAACTTGCTGCGCCATCAAGGAGGGCCCTTGTTTATTTTTTATTATTATTTTTTAAAGATTTATTTATTTATTCATACAGAACTGGGGTACAGGCCAGAGATGCGGAGGGTGAGAGGATTCACCAGGGAGCAGAACAGGCAGATTGACGAAGTACACTGCTGAGGGGAGCAGCGGGCTGGCCAGGAGAGGTCTGCTGTGCCATTGGATCTCCTCTGGGGCAGGCGGGGATCAAATTCATGCAGAAGTGGCTTAAGCTTCTTAGTGCTGTGCTTTAACCCACTGCGCCCCCAGGGAGGGCCGGCCCTTGTTTATTTTTTAATGTTTCCCTTGTATTTGGGGCTGAAGCCCCAAAGACACCTCTGAAGCAATACTTCAGTGTTTTGCCTATGTTTTCTTCTATGCATTTTATGTTTTCAACTCTTAAAACAAGCCCTTAATCATTATTTTTGTGTGTATAATGTGAAGTAGTGGTCTTATTTCCTTATTTCCTTTTTTTTTTCCATTAGGCTAATTTTCCCAGCACCATTTGTTGAAAAGACTTTCCTTTCTCCCTAGCATACTCTTGGAGCCTTAATTTTAAATTAAATTTAAATTTAATAAATATAAATTTAATTGTGAACTTACATTCAGCCTCAATTCTGTTGATTGGTTTTACATTTATTTTTATTCTAATGGGATACTGTTTTGCTTACTATAGCCTTATAGTATAGTTTGAAGTCTGGGAATATGATACTTCTGTTCTTTTTATTTTGGTCAAGATTCCCTTGGCATTTTTTTGGGTCATTTGTGGTTTCATGTAAACTTCAGTAGTGTTTCCCCTATTTCCTTGAAGAATGCAATTGAAACTTTGATCTGGGTTGCATAATTCTGTATGATTCTATTAATCCCTGAGCAGAGAATATCTTTCTATTTTTTGTGTGTCTTCTGTTTCTTTTGACAATGTCTTATAATTTTCCTTGCACAGGTTTTCACCACCTCTGTTACGTTTACTCCTAGATATTTGATTCTTTTTGATGGGATTGTAAATTGTTTTCCTTATTTATTTATTTATTTTTTCTTTGCATATAAAAACATACCATATCTTTTATATTGATTTTGTAGCCTCAAAAAAGTGAATAGCTTTAAATCCTTCTTGGAGAAACAAATCATAAGAACAGTAGCAAGCATTGTTGACTCATTTTCTTGTAGTTATTGAATAGACGTGAATTATTGTATTGGCCTTTAAATTGGATTGCACTGAAGTTTGGGGACTGCTTGGTGTGAACACATAACCTTCAGATACTGTTTTCATCATTTATGGTTATTTACAGTGTTAGTAAAAAAGCCATAGAGAATCCTTTCTTGTTCAATAAGAACTGAACCAATTAGTAAGAGCTTACTAACTCAACAAATGCTTATGGAACTTCTGTGTATAAGATTTGGTTTAGACACTATATGTAGTTACAGTTCTTGCAGTGTACATTTATTCTTATTTGTGCATTCAACAAATACTTTTCCATGCTTATGATTTGCTGGTTTGTGCTATATGCTAGAAATAGAAATGTGTCAGCTCCTTAATAGTGAACTTCCAATTGGAGAAGAGGACAATGCATAGAAGAAACAACCTGTTCAAGAAGCAGGGAGGCATATAAATGTTGGCACTTCTGAGGTGGGCATGAATCATTCAAGGCAAGGGAAGTAAGTGGGATGAAATTGAGGGTAGGGTAGCTGGAATCAGATGCTGAAAGGCCTTGGGTGGTGTCTTGGGGTTCAGACTTTATCCTTGAGGGGATGGCGAGAAACTGGAAACATGCAGAGAGGAGTCATGCTTGGATATGTTTTGGAAAAGTTGCTGTAGCTGTCGCATGATGAGAAAATTAAAATTCTAGAAAGAATGGACAGGGTTGAGCTATAATTTAGGCAAATGGTCATATAAATTAGCCTCTTATAAACTTCACTGGCCATTTATTTAGTAAATAAAATCAAAGACTTTGAGAATGTTCCTAAAGCTTCATGTAGGAGTATGCAGTCCCAAGTTTATGATGTTAACTCTGGAAAATGGCGAAATAACCCTCTATGTAGAACTGGATTCTGATTACCTAGTTATTTTCAGAGATGTTAAAATGAGAAGAGAAATTAAACGCCTTTCAGTGTTAGCTAGGTCAGCTCTGGGCTGTAACTCTCCACCCTCTCAGATGCTTTTGCTTCTACTCAGAGTCTTATGGACTAGGGAATTAACTTGGGTCAGATGCTTTGAGATTTACTGCTTTTTAAGATGTACTTTATGTAATCACAATAGCAAATGGTAAAAACTTACTATCCCTTTGCTAATCTTATCCCTAAGATAGGATTAACTTATATTTCTTAAAGCAAAATAATAGACACTAAGACATTA